CAGCCAATAAACTTACGCTTAACACTGACAAAACCTACTATATTATGTTTGGTAGCAGAGCAGGAGATGCACAAATTAACATTAAGATTGACAACATGCTAATTACCAGAAATAATGGGGGCAAATTCCTAGGCTTATACCTTGACAACAACCTGAATTTCAGCACCCATATCCAGCATATAACCAAAAAAGTATCCAAAACGGTTGGATCCTCTCCAAGATACGATACTACGTGCAGCAAAATGCCCTTCTCACACTATACCACTCACTTATTTATCCATACCTCACCTATGCTATTTGTGCTAGGGAATCAACTGCAGCAACACACCTAAAGCCAATAATAACCCAACAAAAAGCTGCAGTAAGAAATAATCACTAAATCCCATCCCTGGCAACACACCCCCCCACTCTTCATAGACCTAAACTTACTCCCTGTTCAGTACATCCACACTACTACTGTGCAATCTACATCTACAGGGCCTTAAACTCTAATACAACTTTGACCTAAAACGCTTTCTTGATAGTTGTGACAGAACCCACAGGCATAACACCAGACACAAACATCTCTACGACATTCCCCGTGTCCGACAAAACCTTTACAAAAATTCAATGTATGTCAAAGGCCCTAAAATCTGGAATACCCTACCTGAGAACTCTAGAACTGCAGACACATTCATCACCTTCAAAACTACCATTAGAAAACATCTTATCTCCCTGATACACCCCATCAACTAACTACACGAATACCACCTGGTGGTTCACACTTACACTCACTCACTCATTTGACCATAAACAAAAATATTAATCTCAATCTTAAAATAATGAATCCTGTGATACTCCAATACTGAAACTATGTACTGGCCAAAACAAAAGCATTCACATTGCTAAACTCACAAACTAGTATTTAGTCACTTAGCCATAATACCAACTTACCTCATAATTTGTAATATTTTACAATTAAGAATAAAACTAAGTCTGCTCGAAATGCCTAGCCATGCTAAGCGTTCTAGTGGTACACTCTGTAATCACTATTTTACAACATGTAAACCACACAATAACCAAATTTCTGTAAAATCAACATTGTAATCCTTATAGAGAATAAACTTTGAATTTGAATTTGAATTAAAGACAGCTCAAAGTAAGATGAAACAGAGGTATGACAGAAGTGCACAATTCCGCTCCTTCCATCCAGGAGACAAGTTGTTGGTGCAGGAACCAATACCTGGCCACACCTTGAAAGCTAGATTTACGGGACCTATGCAGATTGTAAGTAGATTATCTGATGTAAATTATGTGGTAGCTCCCATTGATAAGACCTCAAAAACTAAAACTTACCACATTAATCAAATAAAGGCTTTTCATACACCAGATAAAGTCCCAGTAATGACTCTGTCCTCTACCTCTTGAGGACGACTCTGATTCTTTGCACTCTATCTCTGAAATTAATATTAAACTTTCAAATTCTGTCCTCCTCAAGGATCCAGCCCCTTTAATGGAGGGATTATCTGAAACCCAAGCAACAAATTTAACTGAGCTTCTACAGTCATATCCTAATATTTTTTCGGATGTGCCGAAAAAATGTACGTTAGGTTATCATGATGTAGATGTGGGAAACTCTAAACCAATTAAACTCTTCCCCTACAGAGCTAATCCTGAAAAGCAAGGCAAATTCAGCAGGGAATAGAATTTTTGTTAAAACATGGTTAAATGGAGGAGTCATCTAGTCCATGGCTTCACCGTGCATCCTTGTGAAGAAGGCTGATGGGGGGGTTTCGTATGTGTACAGACTACCGTAAGGTGAACGAGGTCACCATTACCCATGCTTACCCTCTTCCTGTCTGGATGATGTAATTGACTTGTGGGTAAGGCTACTTTTGTGTCCAAGTTAGATCTCCTTAAAGGCTACTATCAGGTACCTTTGACAATAAGGCGAAGGAAATCTCTGCCTTCGTAATTCCAGGAGGTCATTATCAATACACATTACCCCCTTCGGAATGAAAATTCCCCCTCTTATTCCAGAAACTTATCCATCGGCTATTAAAGGACTTGAAGGCATGGCAGCATCCCCTAGATGAATTGTGTGGTGTCTGATACTTGGGATCAACACCTACTTAGACTTAAGGCTCTTTTTGAGACCTTTAAGAGTTCCCATTTAACAGTTAATTTATCTAAATCTTCTTTGGCCAGGCCACTTCACTTTTCTGGGCCATGAAGTAGGTAGTGGTAAAGTTGCACCTAAACTTGCTAAACTTTTTGCTATTAAAGATTATCCATTTTCCTCATGATAGGAAATCTCTTCAACGTTTCCTAGGCATGATGGATTTTACAGAAGATACTGTAAGAATTTCTCAGATATTGTAGCCCTCTTACCCGTCACAAAGTTCCCCTTTTAAATTTGGGCCTCAGACTGTAACACTGCTTTTAATAAAGCAAAAAGATTACTGTGTACTGAACCCATTCTCTTGTCTCCAACTTCTCCAAACCTTTTTGATTACAGGTTGATGCTTGTGAGTCTGGGGTTGGGCAGTACTATTACAAAACAGAATGAGGAAATTGCAGCCTGTAGCATACTTTTCAGCCAAGTTCCAGCCACATCAGAGGGCTTACTCTACCATTGAAAAAGAAGCCCTCGCGCTGGTACTGGCTTTGGAGCATTTCGATGTTTATGTGGGCCAGACATCGCAGGTGGTCACAGTCTACAGTGATCACAATCCTCTAGTATATCTCCAAGCCATGAAGAACCACAACACAAGGCTCATGCGCTGGATGCTAAGGCTGCAGCCCTATAATATTTCCATTAAATATATTGCCGGCAAAGAAAATATGTTGGCAGACTCTTTATCTAGAGTCTAATATTTTAATTTAATTTAGGTTTGGATTTATTTGTGGTAACCCCTTTTCACGTTTTTTTTTTTTACCCCCGGAGGGGGGTTTTTTTTTTAGGGGGGGGATGGGGGCCCCGTCCCCCCTGTATTTTGACCTATGCTATGCTGTCTGCCCTGCTGTCCGCTCAAAAGTTTAGGGTTTGGTTTTTGGTCACGAAAAAAAGCTGAGCCTACCCTAAATTGGGGATGGTGGAAGGAAAGGGGGTCCCATTTTTTGTCCCAAAGGCGGCAGGGTTGCCACGGGAGGGCAGCCTAATCCTGACCTTCCTCGGGTTTGGGGGTGTGGCATGCAAAAGTACGAAACCCTTTTATTGGGTGCTTTGAAACAACCCCTCATTTCCCAGGCATCTCCCCCCAACCACCAAACCCAGGTTGCTAAATTTTTGATGAGGGGGGCCCCGTCGTTAAACTATGCCCCGGGTTTCTAGCCAAAAAGAAATGGTTTTGGCAATCGCAGGGGTTTATGTGGGTACCGCTCTCCTGCCTGAAATTGTCTTTTCCCTTTCCCTGAGCGGGTTGAAGCATGGTCTGCTATCTTGTGGCTTCTATTCGGGCCTTGCTTACCGGATTTCACCCATACTTATCACTTAAATATGTACATATTTGCGTTCTAAATTGGGGAAGGGAAAAAATAATCTAAAAAAATTTTTTGCTGGTTTATTTTGCTCCCAAATTTCACCCGGGTAACAGGGCCATTTGGATTCCTGGGTTTTTAATATTTTTGTATGGTTTTTCATGGGTTATTCTTGGGAAAACTTGGGGCTCACTTGTTTGAATGGAAAAACATGTTACAGAACTAAGACGATTTTTAAATTTGGGTTTTTGGACGCAAGAACTAAAAAAAGACTGAAAATAGCAGAAATTTTCAAATTTTGCCAATATTACAGATACACAAAGAAAGTCAAATTCGTCCAATATGTGCCCATCTGTCCATTCTAATACACTTTTATGAATGCACTGACATTATGTATGCAATTATTAGAATAATGCACTAGTCTGCATAACAGTAATTTTTTTTTTTTTTTTTTTGTGTGTGAATAAAAATTCTACATGGAATTCATGTGTGATGCTGGAGAAGCCTGGGGATGTAACTAATGAACAGAAGAAATGTTATTTTAGTGCCAGGAATGTCTGTGTTGTGTATTCTGCACCCTATTTTGAAATTGGTATTTCTTGAATTTTGTGCAAAATTGGGCCAAATTATCAATTTCTGATGACTTTATTGGGTAGTTAAAATAGCTGAATGGGCAATTTCTTGTACTCAATCAATAAAATGGAAGGCATGGTAGCAAAATAGTTAAGAATTTGGTCTACTGGAATAACGTAATTGGCCTAAAATCGGACTCAAAGTGGGCAAAATTGCCGATGCATAAATATTGTTGATACAACAAAATTTACAAAAGCATAATTTCATCAATTTTCCATCAACTTTGGTATTTTTCATTTTATTACCTTCAGAAAATGATTCTCTACCACTTCATAAGAAAAATAGCATTTTTTTTTTTTTTAATTTTCCAACCCTGAGAGCAAGTTCGAGTATAGGGGTCCCAACCATGAATGGGTTAAAGGTATACCACAAGTCAATGAGTGTACCCCAAAGAAACACCTCATAGAAATACCTCAAGCTGCTTTAGTACCTGTAAAACACTTCAATCCTTAAAGAAACACTTCTATATTCTCTGGCAGTTTTACTTTCAGACAAAAGACAAATGCTTGATTCACCTGAACCAAGTAATCTACAATTAATGTTACCAATATGTTGACAAGAATGACTGACTGTTGTAAGACAAGCAGATCTTTACCCTTCTTCTCAATTTTACATCATTTCTATCAAAATAATGCAATTTGAGTAAAGAGAATTTCACCGTCACTCAAGACAATTACTGAACGATAAACGATGGTGGATGTGATATTTTTCTTAACAATCTACCTTGGTGGAAAATGGTAAATGTGATAAAAGGCAAAAAGAACAGATCTTCAAAACATCCTGGTTTGACTTACTGTATTAAGATTCTACTGTCTTGGTGTTATATGCCTCTCCTAGTGCTAATCTTGTATGTTTTATCTGATGCTAAAATCAATGATAATTCCTACATTAACAACCATAATACTGACCTGTACAGTGTCAGCTGTCTGTATTGTCCTGCTGAGTGCCACTTGGTTGCGATGCATCTGATATACTTCAGATATGAGAGACACCACAGATGTCACTACAATGACAGTGGCATACCACACATACTCATCAGAATACCACAAACACACAGAAAACAGCTGAAATTTAGGATAAGATTAGGAAATGCATTACTATTTGGTATATGGAACATACCACTCCATCAATCATGTGTCTACAATATTTTTCTGTTAATATATATATATATATATATATATATATATATATATATATATATATATATATATATATATATATATATATATATAATATATATATATATATATATAATATATATATATATATATATATATATATATATATAATATATATATATATATATATATATATATATAATATATAATATATATATATAATATATATATATATAGTTAGTCTTCCTCTTTCAACAAACCGGCCATATCCCACCAAGGCAGGGTGGCCCAAAAAGAAAAACAAAAGTTTCTCTTTTTAACTTTAGTAATAAACAGAAGGGGTTACTAGCCCCTTGCTCCCAGCATGTTAGTCGCCTGTTATGACACACATGGTTTACAGAGGAAGAATCCTGTTCCACTTTCCCATGGAGATAAGAGGAAATAAACAAGAACAAGAACTACACATGCTTGTACATGCATGTGTAGTGTGACCTAAGTGTAAGTAGAAGTAGCAAGATGTACCTGAAATCTTGCATGTACGTATGTGAGACAGAAAAAAGACACAAACAATCCTACCATTGTGCAAAGCAATTACAGGCTTTCATTTTACACTCACTTGGCAGTACGGTAGTACCTCTCTGGGCAGTTGCTGTCTACTAACTTACTGCCTAGTAACGAGTGTACTATGTGCGAATTTTACTTTTTATTGTTTTTAATGCCTAGTTCTATTGCTAACTTAATATGTGCTAATGTAAACTTGTCATCTGGCATTTATATGCATTTGTAAGTGGAAAAAATGGGGTTCTCCTATCTGGTGAAGTTCATTTTCCGACGATAGCCTGGAACCTAACCTGCCATGTAAGTGGGGTCCTACTGTATGTATGTATATACAGTAGGGCCCCACTTATATGGAAGGTTAGGTTCCAGGCTACTGCCGGAAAATGGACATCGCTGGAAAGTGGAACACCATTTTTTTCCACTTATAACTGCATATAAATGCCAGATAACAAGTTTACACTAACATATATTAAGTTAGCAATAGAACTAGTCATTAAAAACAATAAAAAGTAAAATACACACACAGTACACCCATTACAATATTGTAGTCTTAATGGGGTGAAAGGTGAGTCGTATTTATTTGTAAAAGTCAGGTGTGGGAGGAATGGTAGCCAGCAAGGTCACCCCACCCCACCCCACCCCACCCCACCCCACCCCACCCACATGTAATATACTACGACATTTAAGGAGCTAATGAATTTTGTTTTGAGAGATTTTAAAATTGAAGTTGAAAAATTATGGAAAATAATGTTTTATTAACAAAAAATAGTGCATAATTCTGGCAACATATTGATGCAATCAGCTTGTTTCTATCATATTTCTAAGTACAGTGTATGTTTTTTCAAACATGTAATTTTTATGTTTTTGCTGTCATCAAGAGACATGTTGGCAATTAGTGTTTTTTTTTTTTACTCCAAATATTACTATGTTATGATTGTTTCATTCTAAATACTCAACATGGCCACTTCTGTCAGGACTAAAGTGAAGAACACAGAGTGGTTGCTGCTCAGTTGCCTCTGGGGTGTCTACAAGGATAGGGGTTTGCAACACGCTCAGATTTGGCACGCCATGTCCATAGAGTTTTATAGCTACAAAAATATGAATAACTCAGGCATAAGTTATTGACATTTGTTTTCAGTTTTTTGCGAAGAGTAATAATAGGAGTGTCATGATTTTTTCACACATTATTGATGAATGATGGTTCTATTAAATATCAGGGTTGATTTGCAATATGTTTTACTATTTTCTTTTTATTGAATATTATTCTCCAAAAAAACTTCTTAAAAAAAAAAACACAAATTTCAATTTTTTTTATAATGCAATCTATTGACATTTCTCACAAAAAACTTTGAAATTTAGATGATCTAACTCTTTATTTTTCATCTGATGTTGACTAGAACATTGTACATCTTACCAATTTTGTATGCCAGGGAGGGTTTTATGATAAATACAATTTTAAAATATCACAGGATAAACTTTCACTGAAATTGGACAAAAAAAAAATAAAGTACCTTGCTTCCTAATGTGCCCAGAGCAATAAAATGCATATACAGTAGGGCCCCACTTATACGGCAGGTTAGGTTCCAGGCTCCCGCTGTAAAGCGGAAATCGCCGTAAAGTGGAACACCCTTTTTTTTTCCCTTATAAATGCATCCAAATACAAAAAAGTTTCACAAATAATTAAGTTGCAATAAAACTAGGCATAAAAAAACAAAAAAAAAGTACAATAACACATAGTGCATCATTACTTCCCTTTAAAATATTTATAGTCAAAACTGGGGTGAGACAAGCATATTTATTGTAAAAAATTAAGGGGGGTATGTAGGGTAGTCACGGGGCTACCATACCAGGCCCCCCACCGACACAAAATATTTATTACATTTAACATCCAGAGCAAAAAAATGCATATCCCGTTTATCTTACTTACCATAAAATTTTTGTAGTCTTAATCTGGGGTAAATGAGTATTTTTTGTAAAAATCAAGTGTGGTGGTATGGTAGTACTGGGCTACCATCCGGGCCAACCCCCCCCACCATATTTTCTATGAATTTAAACCCTCCCGGCAATAAAAGGGGATATAGTTCACTTTTACTTACCTTAAAATTTTGTGTCTTAAATTTTGGTCAGGAGTGAAAACAGATAAAATGAAAAATGAAAGAGGAAAAGAGGGGAGAGAGAGAGAGAGAGAGAGAGAGAGAGAGAGAGAGAGAGAGGGGAGAGAGAGAGAGAGAGAAAGGAAAAGAGAGAAAGAGAGAAAAAAGGAGAAAGAGAGAGAGAAGAGAGAAAGAGAGAGGAAAGAGAAAAGAGAGAGAGGGAAAAAGAGAGAGAGAGAGAGAGAAAAAAGAGAAGAAAGAAGAGGGGAGAGAAGAGAAAGAGAGAGAGAAAAGAGAGAGGAAAAAGAGAGAAAAGGGGAAGAGAGAAAGAGAAGAAAGAGAGAGAGAAAGAGAGAGAAGAAAAAAAGAAGAGAGAGAGAGAGAGAGAGAGAGAGAGAGAGAGAGAGAGAGAGAGGGGAGAGAAAGGGAGAGAGAGAGAGAGAGAGAAAAAGAGAGAGAAAGAGAGGGGGAAGAAGAAAAAGAGAAGGAGAAAGGGGGAGAGAGAGGGAGGAGAGAGAGAGAGGGGAGAGAGAGAGGAGAGAGAGAAAAGAGGGGAAAGAAAGAGAGGGGGAAGAGAGAAAGAGGGGGGAAGGGGGGAAAAGGGAGAGAAAGAGGAGAGGAAAAAAGAGAGGAAAAGAAAAAAGGGGGGGAAAGAAGGGGGGAGGGGAGAAAAAAGGAAAAAAGAGCGGAGAAAAGGAGAGAGAAAGAGAAGAAAGAAGAGGGAAAGAGGAAAAAGAGAAAAAAGAAGAGAGAAAGAGGGGGAAGAGAAAGAAAGAGAGAGAGAGAGAGAGAGAGAGAGAGGAGAGAGGAGGGAGAGAGAGTGGGAGAGAGAGAGAGGAGAGAGATAAGAGAGAGATAAGAGAGAGAGAAAAGTCAGTACATTGGGGGGGACAGGTGCAGATTTGAAAAACCAGGGTGAAATTTTTTTTGTAAACAAACATAGTGTACACGTCCGGTTTGTGTACAAGTTACATTGTGTACAAGTTGTCTCTACACTGATACGGTAGAATAAATAAAGAAGAACATTCCCATTCTCATGTAACACCATTTTTAGAAGAAAGACGCTCTGAGTGAAGGCAATGGAATAAGTCACTCTGTCTGACTTTTTTTTGGGTTATCCTAGGTTCTCTACATATATGCTGTTATGTATGATAATCTATGTAACTGTATTTGTGTATACCTGAATACTCTTACTTACATACATACGAAAGGAATAATTTTCTACAGTTACCCCCAGTAACACATTTTCTCTTATGTTAGATTAGAGAAAATGTTATTCTTGCCGTCACTTGTACAAGTTATCTGGCTACCACATCTCATATTTATGTTCATTTATTCTATTGTGGGGTGTATTTATCATCTTTATATGTTATGCATCGTGTTTGTTATATAATTTTGAAAAAATCAGAGATGGGTTAATGAAAATATGTATATTAACGTAATATGTGACATTTAATGAGACGGTGATTATTATCATTTCTAATATGGTGTCATTTGTGCAAGTCGTCTGCTACCACATCTCATATTTATGTTTATTTATTCTATTGTGGGGCGTATTGATCATCTTTATATGTTATGCATCGTGTTTATTATATAATTTTGAAAAAATATCATAGATGGATTAATGAAAATGTGTATATTAACGTAATATACGAAATTTAAATGAGACTCTATGATTATTATTATCATTACAAATTATGACGTCTCGAGACATAAGACACTCTTACTGATTTAATGTGTTCCTGCACGCCAGCACAGTATGTAAGTTTATTTAGATACAGGTATACATAAGTATAATTATCAGAGTACAGGTCTCCCTCAACATTCACGTTTTCAGCTTTCGCGGGCTTCACACATTCGCGAATTCCCAACTGCCAAATTCCCAGCCACCAAATCCCAGCCGCCAAATCATATTTAAGTTTCCCGCCACCTGCGAGTCCCTACTACCCTCCCTCCAACCCCCGCAACTGGCAGCCAGTCCTCCCACCACTCAGTGTGGTGAGTGTTTTGTTTGTTCATTATTTGCTATTAAACTACAGTATAAATAATGTAAACACATTCATGACTGCATATTGGAATGGCTATTCGGACAGGTATTAGACGGTGACATCATGTGTTTACTCTTGAACACTGCAAAGAATTAAACATTTCTGCTACAGCTAATAATAACAATAGTAATAATAATAATAATAATAATAATAATAATAATAATAATAATAATAATAATAATAATAATAATAATAAAATATGATATAATTGAAGAAGGAAATTGTACAAAAATACGAGGGAGTGGTT